GTGCTCCAGGCTCTGTGGGTGCCATCCCCGTGTCTCCATGTCCCCGGTATCCCCATATCCCTGTGTCCCCATGTCCCCAGTGTCCCCGTGTCCCCATTCCCGCTCTGGGCTCTGTGGGTGCCATCCCCATGTCCCCATGTCCCCATATCCCCGGTATCGCCATGTCCCCATGTCCCCCTGTTCCCGTGTCCCCCTGTCCCCATGTCCCGTGTCCCCATTCCCGCTCTGGGCTCTGTGGGTGCCACTCCCATGTCCCCATGTCCCTGTGTCCCTGTGTCCCCATGTCCCCCATGTCCCAGTGTCTCCATGTCCCCATTCCCGCTCTGGGCTCTGTGGGTGCCATCCCCATGTCCCCGTCCCTGGTGTCCCCGTGTCCCCGGTGTCCCCATATTTCCAGTCTGGGCTCTGTGGGTGCCATCCCCGTGTCCCCATTGTCCCCATGTCCCCGGTGTCCCCATGTCCCCAGTCCTGCTCTGGGCTCTGCGGGTATCACCCCCCTGTCCCAGTGTCCCCGTGTCCCCATTGTCCCTGTGTCCCCATTGTCCCCAGAGGAGCTGGCCCTGCAGCTGGCCGAGGCCATCGCGTTTGGGGACGAGGCGGTGGCGGCGCAGAGCGCGGTGGCGCTGGCCCGGCAGCACGCGGAGCTGAGCGTGCGCCCAAAGGAGAGCGGCGAGCCCGGGGCCGAGATCAGGTACGGGAACGGGGTCTGCCTTCATCACCCTTCATCATCATCATCCTCCTTCATCCTCCTTCATCCTCCATCATCATCCTCTGCCTTCATCATCCTTCATCATCCTTCATCATCATCCTTCATCATCCATCATCCTCCTTCATCCTCCATCATCATCCTCTGCCTTCATCATCATCATCATCCTTCATCATCATCCTTCATCATCCATCATCCTCCATCATCATCATCCTTCATCATCCTTCATCATCATCCTCTGCCTTCCTCTGCCTTCATCATCCTCCTTCGTAATCCTTCATCATCCTCCATCATTCTCCTCCTTCATCATCCTCCTTCATCATCCTCTGCCTTCCTCTGCCTTCATCATCCTCCTTCATCATCCTCCTTCATACTCCTTCATCATTCTCTGCCTTCATCATCCTCATCCTTCATCATCCTCCTCTGCCTTCCTCTGCCTTCATCATCCTCTGCCTCTGCCTTCATCATCCTCATTCATCATCCTCTACCTTCCTCTGCCTTCATCATCCTCATTCATCCTCCTCCTTCATCCTCCTTCATCATCCTCCTTCATCACCCTCTGCCTTCGTCATCCTCCCTCATCCTCTTTCATCATCCTCTGCCCCTCCCTTCTGCTCCTTCCTGTGCCCTTCATCATCCGCTGCTTGCCTTCCTCATCCTCTGCCTTCCTCTGCCTCCTTCCTCATCCTCTGCCTTCCTCTGCCTCCTTCCTCATCCTCATCCTCTGCCTTCCTCCTCTTCCCTCCTTCCTCCCCCTCTTCCTCCCCAGCCCACTCCCTCCCTTCTGCTTCCTTCTTTCCTTTTCCTTTTCTCCTCCTTTCTTCTTTTTCCTCCTTTCCCTTCTTTTCCTTCTTTTTCCTCTTCCTCCTCCTTTCTCCTTCTCTTCCTTCTCCTTCCTTCCCCCACCTCCTTTTCCTCCTCCTTCCCTTTCCTTCCTCCCTCCTCCTCCTCCTCCTGCTCTCCTCCCTCCCTTTCTCTCCTCTGTTCCATGCCCCAATGTTATCCTGATGTATCCTTGTTGTTTGCGTATATTATATCCCATATCCCATTATTTTTTTTAATTTCCAGCATGCCATATTTTATATCCCACATATTGTATTCCGTATCCCATTATTTTTTTAGTTTCAGCATGCCAAATCCCATATATCATACCCCATATTCCCATATCCCTTTATTTCTTTTTATTCCTATCATGCTGTATCTCATATCCCATTATTTTTTTTATTCCCATTTCCCATATCCCATTATTTTTTTATTCCCAACATGCCATATCCCATATCCCATTATTTTTTTATTCCCAACATGCCATTACCCATATCCCATTATTCTTTTATTCCCAACATGCCATATCCCATATCCCATTATTTTTTTAATTCCCATCATGCCATATCCCAAATCCCATTATTTCCCAATGTTCCCAGCATGGCTTATCTCATATTCTATGTCTCATATATCATATCCCAAATTCCATTATTTCCCACTGTTCCCAACATGCCTTGTCTCGTATTCTATATTCCATATACGATATCCCAAATCCTATTATTTCCCAATGTTCCCAGCATACCATATCCCATATCCCAGTATCCCATTATTTCCCATTGTTCCCAACACGCTGTATCCCATTATCCCACCATTGTCCCTGTCACTCCCAGCATGCCATATCCCATATCCRGATAATATCCCAGCATTTTCCYGTTATTCCCRGTACAACRTATCCCAAATCCCATTATTTCCCATTGTTTTCAACATGTCATACCCCATACCCTAAATCCCGGTGTTTCCGTGTTGTTCCCAGCATGCCATATCCCCTATCCCCTATCCTATATACCATATCTGAAATCCCATATCCCCTATCCCCTATCGCCTATCGCCTATCCCATATCCCAATCCCATATCCCATATCCCAATCCCATATCCCATATCCCAATCCCATATCCCATATCCATATCCCATATCCCATATTCCATATCCATATCCCATACCCCATATCCATATCCCATATCCCATACCCCATACCCCATATCACATATCCCATATCCATATCCCATATCCCATATCCCAATCCCCTTATCCCATATTCTGTATTCTGTATCCCATACCCCAATCTCATACCTCAATCCCATATCCTATATCCCGTATGCCGTATCCCAATCCTATATCCCAATCCCATATCCCGTATTCTGTATCCCATACCCCAATCCCATATACCATACCCCATACCACACCCCATATCCCATATCCCAATCCTCTATCCCATATCCCATATCCCATATCCCATATCCATATCCCATATCCATATGCCATATCCCATACTCCATACCCCATATCCATATCCATATCCATATCCCATATCTCATATCCATATCCCATATCCCAATCCCATATCCCGTATCCCATATCCATATCCCATATCCATATCCATATCCATATCCCATATTCCATATTCCATATCCATATTCCAATCCCATATCCCAGTCCCAGATCCCAATCCTCTATCCCATATTCTGTATTCTGTACCCCATATCCCATATCCCAATCCCATATCCCATACCCCATATTCCATATCCCATATCTCAATTCTCTATCCCATATCCCATATCCCGTATCCATATCACATATCCCATATCCATATCCCATATCCATATCCCATATCCCATATCTCATATCCATATCCCATATCCCATAT